CTGAACCACTGTACATGGGACTTCAGCAGCACTTGATCTTAGGTCCTTGTTTCTGTTACTTCTTCACTTGTTTTTCTAAGAAATCTCAAGCCTCGTGCAGAATGTGTTACATAAATACACCAACAACTCTCAAATTTCCAACCCAGGCAAAGAGCCTGCATGGCCACAGAATCGATTCAGTTTTACTACTTGGTCACTACAAAGGCACCTAGGAACACCACATATCCCAAAGTAACCCAAGATTTTTCAGGGTCGCCAGATCCATAAATGACTCGACTCTACCATCTTATCCAGTGGCATGAGCTGCCATACGCAACAACATGGATGAACCTGAAAGACATGAGTCTGACAGAAATACGCTAGATACAGAAGGCAACTCTTGTATGGTTCCACTTTCATAGAAACAGAAAGTAGATGGTGGACATCAGAGGCTGGGGGAGGGGAACTGGGGAGTTATTCAACGGGACAGAGTAAGAATAGTTCTAGAAATGTGCTGCCCAATGCTGTGCCTATAGTTAATACTGTATTGTGCACCTGAAATTTTGTTAAGAGAGTAGATCTCATGTTAAGTGGTTCACCACAATTTAATTTAAAAAATGCTCTGCAGACCTATGTCCACTCCTTCCACCCCTTAGTTCCCTCAACATACACACACACACACACACACACAAACACGAGAAGTTAGTTCCAAGCTTCAGGCTAGTCTACTCCACCTCTGTCTTTGCAGGCCTCTAACCTGGATGCTGTGCTGGGAGGGACTAAGGGTCTCTGTTCAATGGCCTCCGATTCATCCCATCCTGGGTAGCAGCATTTTCGGAGCATCAGCACTTGGTACCATCCCACCTCTTGTAAATGACTTTGATTCGTCCTCCACCCCTCATACAACTGCACATTCCGTGACCCCAAACTACCCCCTCATTTGGGTTCCTGGACCTGATTCCGATGCTTGTGTGGTGGTGGTTGGAGGGAGTCTTCCTATGCAGGACACCAAGCAATTCTCAGACACTGGCAGGGTGTCAATTCTGACTATCTGCCTGGAGACAGCACCAGATTCCTGAGCTCAGGGGCTCAGTCCCACAAGACTGACCTCCACCCCGCACTCCAGACGCCAGTTTGCAAGCCTCACGTTATTGCCTGTGTTTCTGACCAACCGCCTACAGACTGGAGGTTCCAGCGACCTCCCCTTACGTGCAAATAATTGGCTAGAACGGCTCACAGAACTCAGGAAAACACTTATGTTTACCAATTTAATGAAGGATACAAGTTAACAGCCAGCCAGAGACACAAGGTCCCAAATAAAGGTGCTTCCATCCTTGTGGAGCTTGGGGCCTGGCTGGGTGACACGTGGAAGCATCCTGGGGCCCCAAGTGTGGAAGTTCTCTCAGTCAGGGAAGCTGGATGCAAACAGGAGACAGAGCAAAATGCTCTTTTGGGTTTTTAGGAGGGCTTCACTGCACAGTCACGACTGACTAAATCATTGGCCATTGGCTGACTCAACCTCCAGCCTGCCCAATCCCCTCCAGGGGCTGGGGCCTCTGATCCTGTGGTTGGTCCCCCTGGCAACCAGGCCCCACCCTTGGGTGGGGTCCAAAATATTCTCTATGAATATAACAAGATATCCATTTGCCCTTACAGCTAGGAGGCATTTTCAGGAACTGTGAATAAAAATCACATACATTTGAGAAATCTATTTTCGTCATCTTAATGACCAAATATGTATGTCTTATAACTCATTATATCACACCCCTCTGTTGCATCATTGTAACACCAATTTTTTTTTTTGGTAACATCATTTATGTCTACTTGAGTGTCCTCTTAATGATATTGTAATGTATTGAGGGCTTACCCACAACCAGGCACCTAGCCCGGAGTGTTAAATGCATCAACTCCTATAACCATCTGTTTTAGTCGGTTTGAGCTGTTGTAACAAAGCACCACAGACTGGGGGCTTACACAACAGATACCTATTTTCTTGTGGTTCTGGAGGCCGGAAGTCCAAAATAAGTGTGGGCAGGGCTGGTTCCTTCTGAGGTTGTGATGGAAGGATCTATTCCAGAACTCTCTCATGCTCATATGGCATTCGCACTGTGTGTGAAAAAATTCCCCTTTTTACAATGATGCCAGTCCTAATGGATTTGGGTTCAGCCTAATAAACTCACTATAACTTTATTACCTCTGTAAAGACCCTATCTCCAAATGCAGCCACATTCTGAGGTCCTGGGGGTTAGGAATTCAATATATGAATGGGGGAGGAGGCATAATTCATCCCAAACAGTCTATGAGGTCACTTGGAAGTGACCAGGGGGTCCAGGAATTCCAGCTCTAGAACTCATGCTGTCAACCACTCTACCTGTTATCGGCTGTGATCTTGAGCTGACCGCCCCGGACCTCAGTGTGCATGGCTATAAAATGGGAATTAAAATAGAAGAGCACCTTCCCACTAGAGAGAGCCCTTGTAGAGCAATTACTGCCTGGGACCAGTAAGCATTAGCAAATGTCAGCCGTGGTTGCTGCACTGTTGTAGGATTCCAGACGCACGCCTTGGTTCTCGGTAACATCCTACAACGTCATGGCGCCAGAGCATCCTTGCTGTGGGACACTCGCAGACCCAACATTACCCAAAAAGTAGGATCGTCTCTCAGATCCTAAAGCCACCAGAAAAGACTCTGACAGTTTTGGGGGCCTACATCCTTGGGAACCGCTGTCCTAGAGGGCATTCTATGGCAGGGAACAGAATCCACCCCAGAAATCGATATGACACTCAAGTTTCTCGTGGCCCCCCCAAAAGTAGATACTAGACGTACTGGGTTGAGTATGTCCCCCAAATTTTTCTGTCCTTCCTGGATCCTCAGATGTGCCCTTATTTGGAAATAAGGTGCATTTTGTTGATATAATTAGTAAAATACTGGAGTAGTGTGAGCCCTCCATCCACTATGACCAGTGTTCTTATAAGAAGGGAACAGAGACACGGAGACACGCGGAGGGAAACTAGCCATGCCACCATCCAGGCAGAAATGGAAGTAATACAGCCGCAAGGCAAGAAAGCGGGTTGCCGGCAACCTCCAGAAGCTGGAAGCAGCAGCGAAGGATTCTGCCTGGAGACTTTGGAGGGAGCACGTTCCTGCTGACACCTTGCTTTTAGACTCTGGCCTCCGGAAAAGGGAGACGATAAATGTCTGTTTTAAGCCACCCAGTTTGTGGGACTTTGTCAAGGCAGCCCTAGAAACTAATGCACTAGGGTATCCCACGTCACCAAGGAGCGGCGAGCAGGACACCCGGGCAGCCCCTCTGTCTGCCTGGGGCTCTGTGGTCTCACCTGCGAGTCCCCGCTCATCCTCCTGTCTCTCTGCGCAGGGACCCTCCCACGCTTCGCTTCCACACGGTCTGTGGAGCCCGGGCTCCTGCAGAGGAGATCTGATTGGCCCGGTTGGAGTCACGTGCCCATCATGGCCCAATAGGCTGAGCCGGGGGGATGCGTCACCTGTTACCTAGGCTGCTATTCAAACTAGGCAGCGGCGAATGTAGGCAGACGCTGACCAATCCGATCTGACGCTGGCCCTTGACCGGCAGTTCTCGCCACCTCCCTTCCTCCACCAATCGCAGGGATGCGGCAAGTGCTAGGGTTGGATGCTGGGTTATAGGTGCCTTCCTAGGCGACCAGAGAAAGCCACCAGCAATGGAGATACGTGGGTGAGGAGTGGGGGCGGGAACGACAGGCATTTGCCAGGTAATTGGGAACTAGATTAATAATTTAATGACCCAGGTGGCCTAATTTATATGTGTCAGCTACATATCAGTTCAGCCCACTCAAGAGGGACAAACTGAAAAGGGGTAAAGATGGGTCAAATGGCATTCACCCCTACATCCGAATGTTCACCACCTCCTGGATGGCCAGTGTGGGCCAAACCCTCCCAACCCCACCTGTCTCCTCCCAGCCCTTCTAACGCCATGAAGGTCTGGCTTAGAGGCGACTTCTTCCCCACCTGTTCCCCACCATACTCTTCTGCCCTAGGTTAATAAGCAGCCACGGTCCAGCTGGTTTCTACCGACCAATGAGCAGATCTGTATGGTGGTAGCAGTTGTTATGGGGCTGGGAGAACTCACCAGGTCTGGAAGGGGACAGTGGTGTGCTGGCAAGTAGTTTTAACCAGCTCTCCAGAAGGGCTAAGATGAACGTGTTTACTATAAATTTTACCAGCATAAATGGTATGTAGCACAAAATTTGCATGTATAATGTAATCCTCACTGCAAATCCCATATAGTCAGTTGATCCTTACAGAATGCCCTCCGTTGTTTCGTCTTGTACCCACAGCCAACCTATGGTCGCCACGTGACAAACCAGAGAACCTAGATGGACTTTCTCCCTTACAGCCTAAGATGAAATGGAATGATGATGTCTCTACACCGCACTTGCTTTTCAGTGATGTCCGCAACTGCTTTGCCTAATCAGATAATGGCTTGAAAACTGTAAACAAAGACTTCCTCGATTTCTTCTTGTGTGCTATTCTCAATGTAACATTAAGTCGAATGTTAATATTTGACATCAATTTCTCCAGAACTTTGTGTAGATGATCAACAAACACTAGATCAAGCCTAACTTACATTGTTGATTTTTGTGGCTGACTTTAAATTACCAGTGTGACATCACTAACACAGCTGGTAAGCAGTGTCCTGGGGAACAGTATTATAGTTTCCACCCGGCAGATACAACGGAAATAAATAACTTAGCAAGCACAGAGAACAGCAAAATTGGAATAATAAAACCCCTAAAACATATGGTAGTTACGTAAATCTTGAACAAAATAACACACTAATATATAGCAAATGCTCAAGACAGAGGAATCAGTAATCAGTCATGTCCAGTTAGTGAACCAGACCTTCAGCTTTTTGTCTTGTTCCTGGTGTGTCCAACACCTAAAATAGGACCTGCTACACAGGAGACGCTCAATAGAAGTTGCATGAATGAATGAAACTCACATAGTTACTAAGTCCCCTAAAAGCTAGCCCCATGAATAGCACAAGGGGGCTGGGGGTGAGTCTTTATTTCATATATTAATATAAATAAGGATTTGGGAGCGGGGGGTCTGTTTGGTTTGCTGATGTTTGTCTAGCCCTGCACAGTGCCTAGCATGTAGCAGATGCTCAATAAATATAAACTGACTTGATTAATATAAACTACACTTTTGAGCTCAGGCTCAGAATAAATACCAAGAGTTCGGCTTGAGGCAGGAGTGAAAGAGTAACTGGAGAGTCTTCCAGGAGGGAGTCAGCAGCGGGGACCCCTTGCCCAGCCAGGTGAGGTAGAAGAGAGGGAGCCATCAAAGGGGCCCCAACCAAGGAAGGCAAGATTCAGTCTGTCACTGGGGGGACGGGCATTCAGTGAGGACTTCCCACTCGGAAGAGGCCTAGCACTGTGGCGCCCTGTGCCAGCTGCCAGGCAGAGTGCGTCCCAGGCCCGGTGCTCAGGTGGACGCTCAGGCGCTGGCCTGCACCCAGGTACAGCAGGCCACCCTGGAAACCGGCAGCAGAGTCCAGGGCCTCCGAGGATGGAGGTGGTAGGTCCAAGGTCACAGCCAGGGCAGCGGTCCCGGAGTTTGGCGGCTGCAGGTGCAGGGTGACCGAGACAGAGCCGGAGGCAGAGCCGGAACCGGCCACCACACGCCGCAGTCCCAGGCGCAAGAAGACATAGTAGATGCCAGGCTCGGACACCAGCAGCTGCTGCGTGTGTTTGTCGTAGCTCAGGCCCGGCGCCAGGGACACGCCTGTCAGGCCCGGGTCACTGTGCCAGCTCAGGAGCCCCTCGGTCAGCAGTACTGCGGAAGGAAGGGAGGCTATGCTGAGCTGGGTTGTGGGGCTGGGCGCATCCCTGGGGAGAGGGCGGAGGGCAGGACCGGAGGCAAAAGTGGGGAGGGGTCTTTGAAGGACGCTGAGAGAGGTGAGGCTGGAGGAGGGAGCCGAGGTGCGTGAGGAAGAGGAGGGTCTCCCTGGAGCGCGGAAACCGGAGGGAGCCGGAGAAGGGGCATTGGAAGAGGGGAGTGGGGGGGAGATGGGCAGACAGGAGGGGCCTCAGCAGACAGAGGGCGGGGAAGGGGAGGGGGAGGGGAGAGGGAAGGGCCTCGGACTGCGCGGGGGCTGGGCTCGGTGGGGAGAAAGTCTACGGAAAGGGTAGGAGGAGGGCTTCCGACGGGAAAGAGGCAACCGGGATGGGGAGAAGGGTCCACGCTGGGACTTGGGGATCAAGCCCCAGCTCTGAGAGGGTGGGGGTCTGAAGTGGGCACAGATGGAGGTCAGGACACCTAGAAAGGGTCCCGGGCAGATCAGAAAGAGGACAGACGAGGCTCAAAGAGATGGAGTATCTCTCAGAGAGGGGAGGCCACCCTGTCCCGGGACAACTTCTTAGTGCCCCCGACGGGACCAAGTGGGGGATGGCACAGGACACTCACCCTCCCGGGCCACCAGCTGCGCGAACACTCCCTGTGGAGAGAGGAAAGGGGGAACGTGGATGCAGGCTCCTGCCGCGCCCGGGTAAGCAGGGGTCCTTGGCATGTGCGCAGGCTTTGAGCTCACGCCCCCTCCCCGCCCTGGTCCCAAGGAACACATCCGTCCCCCTGGGGCTGGTGGCCCAACCTGCCCATGGGGTCTGCCAAGCCAGCAACCCGAGGATTCAGGAGGGAAAAGAGGTTCGCTCCAGGAGGCCTTGGGAGGACATGCGGGGTACCCGAACGCCCGGGAGAAAGCCGAGGTTCTCCGGGAGCCAAAAAAGAAAGTGGGAGTCCCCTCCGTTGTCTGAGGTATAAAAAGCGGTGTTCTCGGGGTCCGCGATGAAGCGGTGCCCCCCAACGTCCTGGATAAAGAAGGGGTGCCCTCGGGCGTCCGAGAGGCGCGGTGGGGATCCCGCGGCAGGGGGTACAGAAGGGGGATCCTCTGGGGAAGTGGGGTGCAGCGGTGACCCCGGGGCCCAGGTCGGGGAGCGTCTCACCTGCGAGGCGGCCGGGAGGCGAGCGCCGGCGTCGGGCGGGAGCTCCAGGCTGGCGGGGGGCTGGGCGTCGGGCGGGGGGCCAGGGCCGGGCGCGCCGGGGGCCCAGGCGCGGAGCGCGCAGTAGGCGCAGGCGGCGGCGAGCAGCAGCAGCGCGGCGCTCAGGGCCCAGGGCAGCGGGTGGCAGGCGCGGGCGGACGTCGCGGGCGGCCGCGCGGCCTCGGGGTCCGAGCCGGCGTCGGACGTAGCGGGCATGGCCAGCGGCAGTACTGCGGCCCGGGCGCTGGCGGTGCGCTTTATAGCCGCTCCCGAGTCCCGCTTTCCGGGGCGGGGCGGGGCGGGGAGGGGGGAGATCCCGGCGCCCCGCCCCGTCTCTTCCACCTCCCCTTAGAACTTTCCCCGACTTTCTCTTCTCTAGATTTCATCACCTGTCCACCGCCTTTCCCTCCCGGTCTCCCCCCAATCCCTGTGCATCGTCTGCTCTCCCTCCTTCCTGTCTCTCACCTGAGCCTCCGGGTTCCCTCTGTCTCTCTGTCTCTGTATGTCTCCGACTGTCTCCGGCTTTCTCTTTCTGAGTCTCTCAGTCTCTTTGTCTCTCTCCCCTCCTCCTGGTCATTCCCTAGCACCCCGTCCTGGGGGGTCCCCCAGGGGTCCCCTGAATCCAGCACTTCTGCAGAGCGGTCCGAGGACAGCCAGGCCTAAGCCCCCTTCTCCTCCGGGGCATAAGCCTCCAGCGGAATCCTGAACGCCGTGCTCAGCCTCCCCTCACCCTCCCACACCTTCCCTAGGACCCCGGGGCCTTCTCTGGCCTGCCCCCACCCACCCACCTAGCAGCTTCCCGTCAAGAGCCCCCCTCGGGACCCCACAAGCAGAACGCTGGAGAGTCCAGGTGGAGAAATCCCCCTTCTAGGAAAAAGACAGTCTTGAGTAAGGCCTAGGAAACCCAAATTTCCCGTTAGCTCTCCCGTGATGGAGGCGGGGGCGGGAGGAGGAGCAGAAAGGCAGCAGGCAAAACACTGGGCCCAAAAAGAGGAAGCAACACCGGGCTGAGAGACGGGCGGCCCTGGAAAAGCCCTGGGCTCCACAGAAGCCTAGTGGACAATGACCACTGCCTAGACCAGCCTAGTGGACAATGGCTGACTCCTGACCCCCTCCAGGCTTCATGTTCCCTACGGAAAACGGGAGGGTGGATGGAGCAAGAGATCTCAGCCCTCCACCTGCAGCCCGGGAAATGTAGGGGAATTTTGGTGCAACTGTACAAGTATCGGATGCTGGTGCTGCGGTCGATCTTATTGTATTGGGCCTCCCTGGGGACTTAAGGGGCCATAGCAATAATGATACCAGCTTGTGTGGCTGTGCAGGTGCTAAGTGCTTCCGTTGTGAAGCTGTTGACAAATATAAAGTGTGATGCCCGACCAGCAGCGACAGCCTCACCTGGGGGGTCTTGTTAGCTATGCATAGTCTACCATCCCCATGTAGACCTACTGGGAGTCCGAGCCCAGCGATCAATGTTTGAAAGAGCCCTCCAAGAGATTCTGATGCTTGCGTGGGTTGGAAACACACTGCACTGCACCAAGGTTGCCCTTTGCATCTGCTGTCTCTCAGCCTGGAATGTTCTTCCCCCAGGTAGGCAGCCAGCAGACCTCCACCCCATCCACAACTTGGTTCCAGCTTTCCTTCCTGGTAGAGATGATAAACTGAGCATCAGACTCCACTCTCAGTCCTGAAATCTCACTGTAGTGAGCACGAAGCGCTTGTTTTAGAACCTAAACCAGAATCGTAAGCCAGCAGTGTGGAAAGCCAAATATAATCTCCCCTTCCCGTCAGGGCTTCAAATTATTAGTGCCAACTTGGAAAGAGAATGTGGTGGGTGACAGCTAACACAGAAGAGTTTGCTGAAGCTAACGTCCCCCAGAGAGACAGCTCCCCTCCTCATTAGGTAGATAGCCGCTGGTGGTTTGGGGTTTTTTCTTTTTTGTTGTTTTTTCCTCCAGAGAGTGGAAACAGCCGTTTCTGCTTAGAGGAATGCAGTGGAAGGTAGCAGAATCACAGAGAAAACAGGTTAAACAGACCTGTGAACTTGAATGCAGGGGTTGAAATTTACCCCCCTCAAGCCTTGTCCCCACTAGACATCCAAGACATGGAAGATGAGATGGTAAAAAGTCCGTCTCCAAGGAATCTGACCAATCAGGGAAAAAGATTTAAAGATACTGAGGCCAAAAGTTTCTCCCCTGATATCCTTGCTGTGCCCAGAGGCTCACAGGCCATGGGCCAATCTGGATATCACTAAACCCTATTCCACAGCAGGCCACAGCCAAGGACTGCCCCGGATGACAAAAATAACAAAAAGTAGAATTAGGGGGACCACAAACATCACCTTCACCGACTGCCCAAAGGAAAGGGCCCCTCCCTCAGTCCCTAGTGATGTCACCCTGTGTGATTTTCTCACTAGCAGTTTCCACCACCTGAAATATTCTAGTTCCCTTGTTCGCTTGCTTATTGTTTTGCTCAAAAAATTGTTACCTACTGTTCAAATTTCAACGTCCACAAGTAAAGGTTTATTGGCACACAGCCACACTCATTCATTTACGTGTTGTCTCGTGTTGTCTAGGGCCACTTTTGCAATACTACTGTAAGGTTGAATACTTGTAACAGAGACTGTCTGGCCCACAAAGCCCAGAATATTTATTCCCTCTGGTCCATTTCAGAAAACATTGCTGCCTCGGCTCTAGAGTCTTACATTTCAGCTCTCCAATTTCTTGCTGTGTGATCTTGGGCAAGCTGCTTCACCTCTCTGAGCCCCACACTTGTTAAATGGGATTATAATCGATCTCAGAGTGGTTGAGAGGTTGCACAATGCTAGGCACATAGGAAACGCTCCAGAAAGGTGAGCTGGCATTATTAGGAGCCCTGAATCTTTTCTACAATTCCAGTACACCATCATCCCCTATAGGTAGATGTAGAAATCAAGGTTGAAGCCACTTAGCCAAGGACTCACAGTAACTGGACTCCTCTCCACGCCAAGGGGCTTGACAGAGTTCTGTACCCACCCCCGCTCCAGGGAGGGGAAAGGAGGCCTGGTAGTCTGGGGAAGGCTGAGGCCACAGGCAGGGAGCACCATGACGTACTGCTGTGGTCGGGACATCTGAGCCAAGCGGCACCACCTACCACAGGACTCTCAGCAGCATCCTCCTAGCACACCACGCCCCATGGAGTCACACCTCTGTGCTCAGCCATCGCCCTGAGATGAGCGTGGGCCTTAGCTTTCCCACTTTAGGGGGAGGACCTGAATTCTCACCATCAGCTTCATGGGGCTCATGGGAAGGACTGGACAGGAAGCAACAGGAAGGAGCATTCCTCCTCCCCCTCTGAGGCCCAAGGAGGAGTCACCTCCTTCAGGAGATGTGCCTTGATTTTTCAGCCCTCCATAGACCAGGAAAACCCAAGCCCAGCATGGGAGTGTGCACACCTTTGGCACTGTAGTGCCAGGCATGGTGGGGCAAAGCAATTAAGCTTTGTGAAGTTGGGGTGCGTATCCAGCTACTCTGGAATTGCATGTTTCTGATGTTGCTTGTTCAGGGCTGAGGAAGTGGGCAGGCAATCCATGCATGTATAGGTGTGTTTCTAGATGAGACTAGATCCCAGCCACCTGGCTTCAAATCTCATCTCTGTCTCTTGCTGGTTTTATGATCTTGAGCAAATTCCTCCACCTCTGTGCCTCAGTTTTCCCATCTGGGAAGTGTGGCTAATTACCAGGGACCACTTCATAGGATTATTGTCCAGCCTAGGGAGTCAGAACACAGTAAGTGCTCTATCAGGTTAGCCATACTGCTGCCAGTGGGACAGCAGTAATTAATAAAGGGAAACCTCACAAAAGGGAAGTTGGGAGGCTAGGAGTCTGTACCACTCCACGTCAGTTATGGGAAGAACTGTTCATCACAGACCCCAACAGAAGAATCCTCAAAAGGAAAGAACATCAACTCCAGGCCCCAAGAAAGAAAGATACACATTGTATCTTCTACAAGAAATCGACTACCCCAGCAACTCGGCCACTGAGCGCCCATCGTCACCCAAATTCTTGCTCTCCGAAGTCCTCCCCACTTCCTCCTCCTGCACGAAATAAGTCCCTTTCCTTCCCTTGTTGGGCTTGCTGATGGCTTTGTCACCACTGGCGTGTCCTGAGTTGCGATTCTCTACTATTCCCGAATAAACCCATTTTTGCTGCTAAAATACCTGGCACTTTGAAGATTAATATTATTGTTTGAGAATTGGTTTGGTGATCAAGCTGTAGAGAAGGCTGAGTCCCCTCTTTGGGGCTCGATAGAGATCTCTAAGGGCTAAGAAAACAAAGTAAGCTGCAGGATGCTATGTGTAGAATGTGGCTTTTCTTTCAGAGCAGAGATGTTTGCATAGCACATTTTTGGAAGGTGTGTAAGAAGCAGAGGACTCACATGGTAAGAGAATGTGATGCTTTCGCTCTACTTGTTTTTGCCCACTTGCATTTTCCGTGTGTTTCTCACCATGACTTGCTTTGTTTTGGTTTTTTAGTTAAGCCCAGAATCATGAGCAGGTGTGCATACATGAACAAAGAAACCAGTGGCCTGAGCTGTTTGGAAGGGAAAATTTAGCACCAGTGACATCAAAGGCAGGAAATGGTGTTTCCTTGCTAAGGGCAGTGGAAGGACAGAGAGATGGGGAAGACCCAGGCAAACCAGGGTGGGTCTCCGAGGACCTCTTGAAGGAGCCTGGCTCATGAGAAGCCGGCTCATTCTGCTGGGAAGCAAGCCAGCCTGCCCTAGGAAGGAAGTCCCGGCAGAGCTGCCACCTGAAAGGGACTCTCCAACTCAGGAGGGGAGCCAGCAAACAGACACAGGGGTTACAGACGACACCTCCATTCAGGCCATAAACAGAGAAACACAGTCAACATTCACTCACCCACACACACTGAGACATACCTGGACAGAACATCATACATACACAAGAGCAGCCACCAAAGGCAGCCAACAGGCACGCACAAGGACACACAAGGACACACAGGGACACAAAGATACATATTCAGGGCATATCCGATCAAGCACACAGAGAATAGAACAGTTGCAGACACACCATCACACACATGCCAGTATAGACATGGACATACACAACAGCCATATGCACAGAGACAGATGCCTGGAGTCACAATTGTAGATATACAAGGACAGGCACACACAGGAACACCCAAGGCCATGGTCACACACACCCACTAGCCCATCACA